GGGTTTCGAGTACATACATACTTCTGCAGCTGGTCTTTATTTATCCACCCAATGTCAGTGTAAATTTTATTAAAATCTATTAAACAGTAGTAAAGTATGTTTTAAAGTATGAATTGTTAGGACTCGCACACCTAGCTTCTTCAAGGTTAATATTACTAATAATAAAGATTAATTAATTAATTTGAAAATTATATCAATGGAGCTGTTGATGTAATTTAAAAGTCTAAGCTAATTTGGCCTTTTAAGTGACTGCGAAACTTGAATTCACTTGATATGTCTACGCCCAGTGCTCTCAAGTGTCTAAGCGATACGACAAACAGTGTCTTTTTCGGCGGTGATCGCTCCAATTTGTGTCTTATTAGGATTACATTCGCCTAGTTTGAGTTGACTCAGTGTGGAACTACTCTTAAAGTACTTTCGATTCCAAACACAAGTTTTTTAATTCTTAATGACATACTTAATGTAACTCTAATCCCGGAAAATAAAATATGACAAAATCTACATGACGACCGAATGGCGTAGTGGTTTGTGTAACGGACTACTATTCCAAAGGTCGCGGGTTCGATTCCCGCTCAAGTAAAACATTTGTGTGCATGAACATTTAATGTTTGATTTGGTCTGGGTGTTTCTATGTATAATAAGTATGTATTTACAAAAAAAAAGTATATATGTATTTATATCAGTTATCTAATACCCATAGTACAAGCTCTGCTTAGTTTGGGACTAGATGGCGTTGTGTGAATGTGGTAGAATATTATTATTATATTATATTATTATTATTACAATAAAGCAAGCAAAGACATTAAGATCATTAGGATCATTAAGATTTAAATTTTATTAAAAGTTTATAAAAGACAACTCCCGCACTAGGAATAAATCCTGTGTCGCGGAGGACTTTACAAACATACATGACACAGACACAAAGGACACCCAGACTCAGACCAACAATTTGTGGATCACACAAAGTGTCGTCTCATGTGGGGATCGAACCCACAACACTCAGCGTAGTAGTAAGCGGCGTAGCGACCGCTTTAACCACTACGCCATCCGTGCAGTCAACATCTACATTAACTAGTAGATTAAGAATTCAAGTTAATAATAAAAGTATCGAAGACTGTCGAGTTAACTCAAGTAGTATATTACTGGATTTTATGCTCGCCTTGACGACAAATTTAAATAAGTATTTATTAAGGACAATTTCTTATGATTAATTATATTTCTGCAGGAAAACAACGACGAAAAAAGTTAAGGATTATAAAGATGTTCCCCCATAGGTACTTACCGGTACTAGTATACTAGTGTGTGTAACTACTACTAGTGTGTAACATACCGCACATACCAGTATTAGTGTATAGGTATATACTTGGATTGACATAAACTTCGATCCACTTACAGAAATTTCTTTGTGAAATTTTAAATTCAATTCCATAATAGACATTATACATCTTAATACTTACAGTGTACATTTTTAAACTTTTCGATAGCAATTATCGAGAGTTACAAAACAAGTCTTAAATTCGCAACTTCTGGTTCTACGTCTTGTTTACAGAATTCAAATGTTCGGTATTATAACAAGGCTTTTACTTAGGTTTAGACATATTTAGCTTGATTAAAGGCACAGTACTCATATATTTTGCAAGCCCTCATGTTGCAAGCTCTCAAACTCGTTGTCTTTCTTAACAGCACCAAACGCTAGGAGATAATATCCACATACTTTAATGAAATTATTTAACTTAAAGCATTCTTTTAATGTAATTCCTCTCATTTGACTCGTGGATTATGAATCCACTTAAGATCCATACGTTTTTCCTTTTCCCTTAAATGATTTTTTTGATAAACTACTTAATACTACTAACAAGTATGTATGTTCTAGATTATTTTTAAGGTTTCTTCTCTTACATTATAAAATTTAATAAAAGTTTTTATTTAGCTATCCATTTAAAAATGCTTTTAACTTTGTGCTTGTGTGTGTGTAAATGTATTTATGAAACAATATTTTTTTACGCAAGACATTGTAAAGGCACTCTTCAGACTGATTACCTTACTAGAGTAAGTGAAATTGTTTAAGTTGTTAGCCATATACATCTACACTAACAAGTAGTGATGTCATGATGCAAAGTAAGTATTTGAATTCTTGTATGACACGGAGTTTCTCTGGTCTTGTGTGTGTGATGTGATTTAATTAACGGTGATTGTACTCGTATTAGACTTATTGACCCGTCATAGAGAAACACGGCTGTAGAATACGATTCGAATATCATTGGTATTGGTAGTGGTATTGGTTGTGGGTAGAAGAGATTGGCTAGGTGAGCCAACCAAGCTCACTCCAGAAGGAGGAGCGATTAGAATACTATTATTAAGTTCGTTTTTTGGATGCCAAAAAAAATAATGGTTTTGTTTTCGAACAGCTGTTGGCATTTAGGCTTATTTAATCCACGAACTGAAAATAAACGAGATATTGCCAGGCGATCAAATGTTGGGTATTTTGAATGTTTTGCTTTAACTGCGACGTACAACCTGAACTGTCATTGTACAGACTTTTGTACTATGACAGGTCAAAACCTATTTTAACTTTATAGCACACTTTGTTTAAAATTTTAGATTTTCTACTTTTCTACAACATATAAACTTAGGTATTTAAATTTCACATTCCTTCAATACGCATTTGTTTAAAAATGCGTACAAAGCGTTCTTCTCGCGTATGGAATCTCTCAAATTATATTTGCTTTTTTTATGTTTTTCAATTAGTAATTGAAAAATATTGTTTTAGAATACTTTTTATTTGTAAGGATTGTCTTACAAACTAATGCCTTATCCTAATGCCTAATAAACTTGATTAATAAATATTTAATACCTTTGAATTGATTGACGTGTCGTAACATCAAGCAATTCCAATTAGTAATTATACACCACGGAGCGCAAAAGAGAAGGGTCAATATCCCTTTAAACGTCGTAAGTACCTAAGATAGATTGAATGTTCATGCGGTTTTAGAACTAATTCTTTTAAATAAATTCATTCATGGAAAACAAAAAAAAATGTTTAGAGTTGAGTCGCCAGCTGCAAATAATTTTTGTAAGTAGGATTTTGAGTCCCGTAGAGGACTCGGAGTGGTATATTTTATTATATAAAAGGCAAGACTCGTTCGACTTTAAAAACATTAATATTACTGACAAAAAGAACACAAAAACGCGAGATAATTACTTATAGAGCTTATAAATTTTTGACTTGCGTGGAAATCGAACCCATATCACGGTCGACAAGGCAACCACGTTAACCCTTTGTACCAAGACAACATTCATAGGTTTGTGTCACATAAACGTCTAGTTAAAGCGTTTAAATCTTGTCTATTAACCATAGAAGGAGCTTCACCGATGTATTTTATCATACAATATAAATAACTCAGGGAGTTGAAAAGTTTCAGTGATGAGTTCATCACCGGGTGTGGCTAATACATACGTATGTGATGTTTTAACTCTACTCCCATTGCAATAAAATACAAAAAAAAATTTAATACAACACGGATGTGCTATACTATATTGTAATAAAGAATAAATATTTTATATGTTATAATATTTTATAAATTAGTCTTTGTCTCTCATGAATTTAGATTATGATTTTAAATTGTCGATATTGAATAATTTTTAAACACGTTTGTAAAAATGTTAAATTTATAAAATTAATTATTATGCAAATTAAAAGGCTAATGATTTAGACTGTTGCGAACTTAATTAGGTTCAGATTTTATTTTGGTGACTTCCTGAGTCTTTTTTTTATTATTAACAGACGAATTTACATTTTATTAGTTTTCAAATGTAGTTTATTACCTATGCAGCTAATAGTATTAAAAAAGAATAAATATCACAGTTTTGGAGATACAATTTCTGAACTTCCAAACGATCTATTTTTGTTTTAACTTTTTTAGCAACTATTCTGCTCATAGACAGAAAGCCAAAAATAATAAAATCAATTCGAAAAGAACTTGATATTTAAGTCCTCTTCTAGAGGTTTTGTCTCCGTGTACATGTATATTGTCACACAAAGCACGCCGCGTGAGGTATATGGCCGTTTTCGTAAGAGCCGACTTGAGCGCTTTACTGACAGCGCTCAAATTCATAGTGTTGCTGTGCCCCTCATAATATTTTTTATATTGTTTATTTTTATATTTCAGTTGAATTGAAGCACAAATAATAGAAGTATAATTTAAAAAGCATAACTAATATTACAAACGTTGATCTACTGGTTCAACTTATAGCTTGGAAATTTGTAAAACCGTTGTTGAGGATATGAAAAATGTATCAAGAAAGAAGTACTCTTTTCGAAAGATAAAAGCATAAATTTAGCAAGTTTAACAAGAATGTGTCCTTATAAATTTTTAGGGGGTTCCCACATTTTCGTAAACAGGAAAATAGTTGAATATTGGCGTATTTTCAATTAACACACACACACAGCGATATAGGATAAATTCCTACTACGGGAGTTGTGTTTAAAAAGAAACTAAAAAAAATTGTATACTATTAAATTGAAGAAATAACAAACTTTGTATGTTTATACGTGTAGGCGTACAAAGGAGATTCTTACTTTTAATTTATTCGAGCGTAGTATACTATTAGAGTATTGATTATATTATAAAAATAATATTAAGATATACCATGTTCTTTTTAAAATAATTAACACTACACATGTGAGGTTGGCAAATGTCTCTAGTTTTTTTTGTGCAAATGAGCAGTATTTACACTTAGTTGTAATATTAATAATTTGATAAATTTTAAACTAAATGTAATGCGACCAAACTTATATATTTTAAGTACCGTCAACAGATATCTTTAATTCAGATATCTGCACTATCTGCTGAAACTTAGAAATTGCAGTCTATACTATAAATACTGATCGGTCGAGAGACGGCGACGGGCGCTGGGTAGTCTGTACGCGCGGCGCTAGTGCTACCGGACCGAGTTCGACGCACACACGTCGCGACGAACACACAACAAAAAAAGCAAACATGACTTACAGTGCACAGTTCGCGTTTATTTTCGCCTGCATAGCTTACGGTAAGATTTTTCATAATTCATTGATTTATTTAAATAGGTTGGAATATTATGCTTAGAAGGGGCTGGTTAAACTTTTTAGGTTAAATTCGCAACTAGGTTAAATTTAGAAACCTAATTATTTTTATACCAATCAGTTTTATCCAAACTATTTTAGACTTTATAATTTTTTTTGCAATGCCCTACAATTTGTAAATTTCAAAATATATATTTATACAAGGTATTATATAATACGTTTCAGTATAAGAGTTACATAAATTTCATTTTCCGTAATATAATATATATATTTATATAAAATAACGTATTTATACATTAGGCGCCTTACATATCCAATCTTTAGGTTTTTACGCACGAGTAGACTGATTTTAGTTAAACGAGTCTGACCCGTTTTCGTCATCGTAACGAAATGTTAATATTTACATAATAATATTAAGTGTATATGTAACTACATATAAAACGACTATCGCTTGTAACTTTAATGTCAGTAAGTTTTTTATTTTTCATACTAATATCCTAGGTCATATATTACTAGTTTATTTATTAACCTTGTACAGCTAAGCTAAATGCTTGCGTTTGGACTATGTCCATGGCGGTTATGTACTAGATGGGGTTCAAACCTACTACAGTAATTCTCGATTCCACACTAAGCATAGTCTGTACGATAGTACTTATAGTACGTGTATTTAATTACTAAATATATACTTAAGTTAGATAAATTAAACCTAGATACAAAAAGTTTTTCAAACCATGGCAAGATTAATTATTCTGGGAAGGATTGAAACATTCGAACCCAGGACCTCTGCACCTGAGTAGTTATTGTCACTAACCGCTATACTAATATTCTCATCGAGTTAGTATTAAGCAAGCATGATCTACTATCACGGTGAAGGGACTTCCATAGTCAGGCGGTACTAACTCAATCTTGCATATGCTTAATTCTGAGTCCTGTAAAGGTATGCCAACCTAAATAAAATACCTACTAAACTGTATGTATATCCGACCATTTTACAGCTTATGTATTTAGTGTTCTGTCAAGCTCATGGCGAGAAATGTGCGGTCACATTTGGCATAGTTTTAAACACCATTGTAGCAGAAGCGCTGGCCGTATATCTCGACATGCCAATATTAACGACATTATCCGTCGGGCTCTTGTTACCACCGGCGTTCCAGCTGTACGTGAACCCAATTGTCTGGTTCGAGACGATGGGAAGAGACCGGACGGTATGTCGTTACTGCCTTGGAAGATGGGTAAGCCTTTGGTGTGGGACGCAACCTGCGTCGACACCCTTGCGCCATCACATTTGCCAAGCACTGCTGGTTACGCCGGCGCTGCTGCTGCATCTGCAGAAACCCTCAAACGGAGTAAATATCAGAAATTAGTAGGAAATTTCATTTTTGAACCGTTTGGGGTCGAAACTTTAGGGTCATGGGGTCCAAGTGCTCGTAATATATATAAACAGCTAGCTAAACTACTGATTGACACTTCTCGTGATCAGAAGGCTGGTCTTTTTCTAGCACAGAATTAGCATTGAAATTTAACGTGGCAATGCTGCCAGTCTCCTGGGAACGCTACCGGTAGGCGATGATGCGGAGGAATTTTTGGACTTAATTTTAATTTTAATTAATTTTTATTCTTATTTTTATTTTTGTACTAGATACTAGAATTTCCTCCCTTATTGTTCACTTTCTTGCACCTTTTATTAGCTTTAAAAATTGTTGTTGTTATATTTAAGTGATCTTATTAGAAATAAATTCATTGCGCTAATAGCATAGTAGTTTATGGTTGATAGTAGTCGAGTTTTAAGTTGATCGTAACAATTATGGATCAAATTACGAACGTAATTAAATGAAAGTGTGACAGATTTTGTTTTTTAGTACCAACATAGGTCCCAGCACTTCTTGATCAACGTAAAGCAATTTTTTCGTCTGGCTTCTGTTTTAATTTCACGTTAAATTAGTATCAGTTACCAATATTAGCAATATTAGACTGCACGAATAGCGTAGTGGTTTAAGCGGTCACCTCGCCGCTTTCTACTACGCCGAGTGTTGTGGGTTCAAACCCCACATGGGACGACACTTTGTGTGATCCACAAATTGTTGTTCTGAGTCTGGGTGTTCTTTGTGTCCGTTTCATGTATGTTTGTAAAGTCCCCGCGACACAGGAATGTATTCCTAATGCGGGAGTTGTCTTTTTTAGAGGATTTTTAGAGGAATATTTGCAAAACTCAATTCAAAATTGTGTCCAACTGATTCTATAACATTAAAAAAGCCCTATAGGCATTCATTACCATCTTACTGACATCCCTTCTTATCTGCCGTTTCTTTCATTATGTTTTACATCTAATAAGAGTTCCTGGTTGATGCCTCTAATAATCTTGTATATATTACAACAGTGAGGTTAAAATTTTAGTTCGCAAAATGTGTGTGTTTAATACTGCCCTTCGGAGATTTATATGTATGTGTGGATATTGTAATAACTAAATAGTATCCATTGTGTCTTTGTGAATAGTTCTAGAAATTATTTATTTTAAATTACGCTCTTTGGCATTCCTGGCCTTTTTATGAAAGAATTTAAAACATACATATAATTCTAGCTTTTGCTCTCGGCTACGCCTGCTTGTATGCCAGTTTTCGAGGTAAAATGCCTATGCTTTAATCAAGAATGAAACTATCTCTATACCAAATTTTATCTGAATCGGTTATTGATTCCCCACACAAACTTCCAAACCCCTTATTACCCTCTTAAAGGATGATTTCTGGAAAAAAACTATTCTTTGTCCTTTCCCGGCACTCAAACTATCTTTATGACGAATTTCATCTAAATCGGTTTAGCTGTTTAAGCGTGAAGAGGTAACAGACAGACATATAGACAGACATTCAGACACACCTTCGCATTTATAACCTTAGTATGGATAGTGTGAATTAGTATGGATAGTAAAAAAATACTAATTGTTTAATACATCGCAATGCGTAGTCAGTTAATGCAATATTGCGCTAATGTACAAACCCTTTCTGACCGGACCATTTCGCTGGTAGTAAGGTTACACAAGCAGCTGTCTGTACAACATACTATGTCGTTGTGTGTTTTTGTTTTAAATTCTTGACACTAATAATAGCCTGTTATATTTTGAATCATTTCATTGAAGTTTACTAGTTCATAGTTCTACTCTAGTCTAATTAATTTTTAGTTTAATATCAGTGTCAACTTATAATGTAAACAAATCTTAAAAGGTAATATTACCAGAACCAGAACAGAACTATTTTTTATCATCTTGGAGTTCATCTGATAATGGTATAAAAATATTTATAGTGGAACGAAAACGAATAATAACTTGAGTTTCGAATCATATGTTACGTTTTGACGATCTGGTGTTGAAGCCTAGAGGTGAAGAGTGGAGCTCTTCTTTACTTTTCAATTCTGTTTACCAATGAAACCTACATTACAATAAATTTTAAATTTACAAAAAATAACTTCCGTACTAGGAGAGATGTCTGTGTGGCAGAAGATATTAAAAACATTCAAGGAAAGCTTACAAAGAACAGACATTTAATTTATGTATTCTTCTGATTTACATATTTAGTCGTAACACTTGTGTCCTTATTTTTTATACCACTGCGGAGGTTTCAACAGTCTAAACAAACACATATAATCGGCTTACAAAATCTAGAGAGAACATCATTTACAATCTATTTTTCTTTGAAATCGTTCACAAAGCATCCGATTGCTCTATTAGTAGAACAAAGCAAATTAAAATATCGGCACATATAATTGTACAAAGTAGAACTGTTTCCTGTAGTCGGTTGCTCAACCAGTCGATTGGAAAGGGAGCCGGAATCGAGACCGTTTGTACAAAACTCAAGGCCCACACCTGCTTCTGAACGACATTTAAAAAATTAAACATGTAGGTATATAATATATTTGGGTTTGGCACAATGATTTATGCTGTTATGAAACTGCTTAATACTTGATGAGTGTAACTGAGTATATCCATGGAAATACTCTGTTATACTTATCAGATCAGATCAGCTATAATTTAACATTTAATTAGCATCGAACTTTTATTTATGTTGGGAAGGAAAACTTGACACAAACCCTATACCAACCCGTCTGGCCAGCGTGGTATAGTAGGCCAGAGCCTCCTTTCTAAGGAGAGGCCTATGTCCAGTAGTAGACTATCAAAGGCTGATGATGTGATGTGATGTGACTTGAGATGTCCCACATTGTGAATCTACCCTAGTGTATAACTTCTAAGTGAATGTTTGTGATTATCTATAGGCTTTAAATTATTTTTCATATATTTTCATTTATTTTTTTATTATATGTTTTACAGTTTTAGGTTTCCTTGTTTTAAGGAACCTCCTGCATAGAAAATTGCGAAAAGTATCGCTATCGTGTATAATATAACAATGATAGTTAATATAAAATTCTCCTTTTTAAGTAAGTAGTAAGTAAATATGTGCGTACACGTTAATAAAATCAAATATTATAAGTTTTGTAATTAACTTTCATTAAATTACATAAAAATAAATGTAACAGAGTCATAAAATTACCACTCATATTTTTATTAACTTGTATTAACTTTTGTGTTCTCGAAAGTGTTCTTAAAATTTAACCTTGGGGAGCTACAACAAATACTTCTCCTTCAATGACTAATCACTAAATGAAAAGCCCATTTAAAAGAATTCCTAGACATACCTTAGCTTCTTTAATAAAAGTTACCGAGCTCCTATTGAAATGTTAGAATATTATATATGTACCTACCTTTGGTACTTCTTTCAATAAATTGTGAAGCTAATATTCTCTTATTAACTGTTGAAAGACAAACAATAGTTTTAATCGTGAGTTAAACATTAAATAATCTCTCGGCTGTAATCCATGTAATTGCCGGTTAAAATTGTATATCAATCGCTGTTAAGAACGTGGTTCGTACCAAAGAGTTCAACGCGCGCTGCTTTGCTCAAACCGATGTTTTATAATTTTATTTTATTTATGTAGGTACATA